CAGTGTCAAAATATGCAAAAAAGTAAAAAAAGAAGTTATTTACATGTGCAACAGTGTACATTACCAAATGCACTGTAGAAACACAGGGCAGGAATAGAATCACAGAATGGTTAAGGTTGGAAGGAAACTTAAAAGATTATCAGGTTCCAACCTTCCTGCTGTGAGCAGGGACACCTCACACTAGACCAGGCTGCACAAGGCCTCATCCAACCTGGACTTAAACACCTCCAGGGAGGGGGCATCAATCAACTTCAGGGCACTTGCACTTGAACACAATAGTAGTTTACTAAAAACTGCAGAGCTAGGATTGTAGGAACATTCCTGAAGCCGAGAGCCTCTCTCTACAGCACCTGTAAGAGTGAGTATAGACTCACAGCAACAAAACTCCCTTTCCTAGGCAATGGGGCTAAAGCTAATAGTTATTTAGCAAACTTAGAAGGAAAAAAAAGAAGAGCCATGAAAGGAAAAGGCATTTGAGTTAAAATATCCAGTATGCTTTTGTTGGTGTTAAAGCATTCTAAAAAATGGAGGAGAAACTAAAGACAGACTGTGAAACACATTTAGACAAATTAAGAGAATAAATTAAATACAATCCTAAAGCTGAACAAATTTCCATGCTAGCTGAAAAATATTACAAAGGAGGAATTCCCTTCCAGTTGAGTGGATGCCTACTGAAGAGCAGAAACCCACTCCTCCTCCCTCTGCTCCCCCTCTGAGACAGGCAGGCCCAAGGAGTAAATGAAGGGTAGCTGCTGTGAATAATTAGCATTATCAGCTAAATCGAGGTATGGGGCAAGATCTTAAAGTAATAAGAGAAAAACATGTATGGGAGAGAGGAAATTTCCTGGATTAAGATGCATTAAATATAGAGCAGGAGGAGAAATTTCCAATCCCTGCAAGTGTTAAAACTGGAATAATGCCCTAGAAAGGGCAACTCGTATGTGCAACTTGTGTGCATAACCAAGCAAGTATATCCCCCATCCAACCTCAAAACTCAGCCACATACTTCAATAAATACACCACAGTCCAGACTAAGGGAAACATCTAGACATACTACTTCAATGCTGGAAACTGGAGATGACCAAAGTATAGCTGGAGTGGAATTAAGGACAAGCTCTGAAGTTTACCATGACTGCTACAAGAGATACAAATAATTACAGTCAGGAATTAGAACATAATTATTTGACTTGCTGCTGTCCATTTTTAAACTGACACCTTCCCCATGACAAATCTTTTTAAGATGTGCAACACTTCGATACAAATGGTAAGGAGAAACGAGCACAGGAACTTCTCCTCAAAATTTTTGACCTTCCTCCCATTTTCACAACAAAATCCTGGGGCCTCTGTCTCCCTCCCCTCAAATGAATTCACCCCTACTTATGACTAAAACTAGTAATTATAAACCCACAGCTTCAGGCTCATCTCAAATTGCAGCATACTAGCCAAGTTATTATTCAACAAGGATGTGTCACCCTTTGACTCAGGTTCAACAACAATGCTCTCGATCCCCTCCCCCTCCCATCCAGGTAGGGAAGGAGAGAGAGAAAAAGAGAGAGACTTGGCTGGATTGAAAACTAAACTACACAGCTTTAATTAAACACTAATAATAAAATAAAATTTATACAATTATATACAAATATGTTCAGATATGTGCAGAAGCCTCTCACCTCCCCTCACCCCCAGCAACTCCTACAGCACTCTCCTTAGTTGCAAACAGTCCCGAAAAATGCCAGGCTGCTGCTGGAGAAAGCACAGAGTGATGAGGGTCGGGAGAGCTCGAGCCTGGGGGTCGATGGTGATGGATGGACGGAGTCCTCCCTGGACACCTGCCATGGACGGAAGAGAAAGGAAGAAGCAGGAAGGAAGTTGTCTTCTGTGATCTCTGACCTTCCTCTGAGCTTATGTAGACATATGGAATGGAACATCTCTGGCCAGTTTTGCTGTCCGCCTAACTCAGCCTCCTGATCTCCCTGCAGTGTCTGAGCCGGCAGAGTAAAGACGCAACCTTGAAGACCCAGCAGTTAGAAAAACAATCCACTGTTATCAGCCTTAGTTGGAATGCTCTGCTGCTAGTTAAAAGAAAGCTTACTGAAGGAAAAAAAAAATCTGTAAAAGGAAAATTGGCTTCATCCTGGTTCAAACCAAGACAGGATGACACATTTTGAAGTGTTCCAAATCAAAGCCGGTTCAATATGTTTTTCAGTAGAGGGTCATATTCCTGTTTTCCTAGCCTGTAGTGACCCTTTTTAATTGAAAGGATTTTTTTATGAACGGAGGAGAACCTGACACAAACCAAACAGATACGCTAGTGGAGCTTTCCAGTACTGACAGCAGGATAAAGGAGGCCTTCAAAGTTCACGGAGAAGTAGAAAGAGGTGTTAATTTAACAAGCTTGTCAGTAAGAGCAGAATGAGAGCAAAGCACCAATGAATAATTCAGACTTCTATTCCACATGTTATCTCAGTATCTCAAAACAGTTTGCAAGCATTGGTTAAGTCCTATGACATCCCCCTGAAACAGACAAGCATGGATTAAAGCTCTACTCCTACCAGCCACTATGTCACTGCATTGCACTCTGCTCTCACACACTGCATTTAGCCAATCTATGCTCCTCTTCCTCATCTGTTAAATGGCAATGATGACAAAGTGGTTGAGAAGCCTAGTGATTTCTGAAAAAGCGTATTTTAAAATAGCACACAACAGCAATCTCGTACGCCAGACTACACTCAATTACACTAAACTAAAGCTACCACATTCAACATGATAATGTTGCTAGTGGGAAGAAAAACATGTATCTATTTTATAATACCCTACAGATTTGCTTTCCTCTGTCCCTAAGTACCCAGAGCACTTGAATTCTAGTTAATTACTGGGATTTTTGGGTACTGTGTTAACACAAACCTCATAACAATTACAGTGATTAGATCTGCTGTAGAAAGAACAGTAAGAAATGAAAGACTGTCCACTGTAGCCTCTAATTCTCAATTAACGCAAAGTAGCTGGTGTGTTTGAAACCCAGGAAAGACATACCCAGAGCTGCCAAACTCCAGAGGGAATCATCATTCAGATGGGAAGCTGAGCACATTATACTGTTTAGTCCTTGTTTTCAAAAACAGGTATGTGAGCATCACCCACATATGGATGGTGAAATGACAATTCAAGAGGCTCTGGGATGCCAAAGGGCAAAGGCAATCACATACACTCCCCACAACCAGCTTTTCAGTTTGGGAACTCCTCATTCCCAACCTTCTATTGGACTCTTTTGTTTGTTTGTTTTTGTTTTGTTTTGGTGGTTTTTTTGTTTGTTTAAATAAAAATAGCCCACACACTTTTTCTGTCTGGTCCTAATAGGAGTTAGAGTTCCTTGTTCCTTGTCTGGGGCTCCTTCATGCATAGAATCAGAATTATTTTGCTTAGACCTCTTATCAATCTGGCTTTTCCAAAAGGACCAAGGATAAAGACAAAAATAACGCCTCAATGAAATACAGCTCTTTTCTTCTCCTGAGCTTGACAGTTACTTCCAAAAATAGATTGTCATGACAACAAACAACCTGGAGGCAATTCAGACAATTAATCTGCAGAAGAAGCAGCCATCGCAACATCCCAACCTTGGAAAAGAACATTGGAGCTTTAAGCTTCAGAAGCCAAAAAAAACCAACCCCAAAACCAAACAAGAAACCTTACCACCCACATTAATCTTATTAGGCTCCTATAGGCCTGTTGAGAAAAACAATTCAGCTCTCAGCACAGGCAGCAGCATTACACACACACTAGTCTCTCACTAGCCCTGAGACAGAGGGTATGGGTAGGTCAGATCGTCCCCTACAAGGCTCTGATTTGAGCAGAGAGATGTTCCCAGGGTTCAATGTAGCCCAGCACAGGGTAGCTACCAGGATGACCCTTTCAGCCCTTACCAATAGAGTCAAAAGAAAGAGCTCATAATAAGGCAGAGAAATGGCACAAAAGAGGTTGTCACATACCATTGTTATAAACTCTTTTATGGGTTTTGTTGGCACTGCTGTTTTGTGTTTCCCCCTGTCCCCTTTCAAGAATAGTTATCACCATGTCAAGCTCTGAATTACTTTATCTTCCATAAAGGACTGTAACACTACTGCATTAGTAATTATCCTTCAATTTCCCTAATATCTGCTTCCTTCATACCATGCTTTATCTCTCTTCAGGTGTCCTGCTTTGCATAGGTCCAAGCACATGACATCTCCTCTGCAAAGGTACACCATCTCCCAATTTTTGTCTATTCAGATCACACAGTAGTAACTCAGACAGGAAAATGCTTAACAGCTGATGCCCAATACACATCATTCTTTAACCTCAAGTAATTCATATATGTCACATTTTATGAAATACTGTAGTGTTAAGTTACAGAACACAAAGCTGAGGAGCATTAGATGTAGAGTTATAGCATAAGTTAAAAAGAAAAAAAATCAGAGATTGTGTTTTGTGATTCTCACATGACTCAATACACAAACATTTTCAAACAAAAATTTTGTTTCCCATCCTCTGCCTTTCCTCTAAACAGAGAAATAAGGAAGGACAGGAATAAATTCTTTCACTGTAGACTTGTCCTGCAGTGAAACATGCCTTTCAGAAAGTAACTGACCAATGAGGATCTAAAGCTTACACAGATTTACTCATCTAGTAAACACAGAGATATTGAACTACTTCAAACTGAAGTTTTATTATTGATCCCTGTGGGTCCAATACATCTCTCATAGGAGTCACTAAGTTTCAGTGAGCACTGTATCACAGATAATAAGCACTTCCTGCAAGAGTGCATTTTTACTAATCTGAAGAGGGTATCAGTCTTACAAGCATTGACAATGAAATTACACATGCACACACTCCACATGTTTCACTCACATTATTTGCAGAATTAGGAAACCACAGCTCTAGCCAACAGAATCATATTTTCTACTGAGCCTGTTCTGCATTAATTGCAGTTGGTATAATACAGTAGAATAGAATAAAAACTTTGTGCCTACCTTGAGGGCTTTCACAGCTTTCTTCATCACTGTTGTCTTGACAGTTATTTTGACTGTCACACACAAAGCTTTTATCAATGCAAAGACCATTTTTACAGTGGAATCGGGTAGTAGAACAAAGCAAGGGATTTGCTGCTGCAAAAGACAAAGTGAGATCTTTCATTAGAAATTTTCTAACACAGGCAGTGAAATAGCTGTTAAGCAATCAACAACAGGTCAGAATGCAAGTTGGTCAATCCGCTGAATATGTGGGACTAACCTGGCAATCAAACCAACCTTGTCTCTCTAAACAGCGAGATTTATTAGAAATTGCAGAGATTCAGTCTACCCACAGGTCTGACAAGCCTTCTGTTCACTTTCAGGAGAGCTCCATAATGATCACTGCTTGGTGCTCTGCATTTGTGCATGCTGAAGACAAACGGAGAGTAGCACTGCCTACCATAGACATGGCATGTTGCTTTCCATTGCAACAAACTCAGTTTAGCTTAAGTTTTTTATTTTAAGCCAACAATGCTGTTGAGAACTCCCAGGGCAATGGTTTATTTAACTCCGCTTCTGTCTTTCCACCCTTCCCATTCTTCTCACTATTTTGAATTGATACAGTGACAATGTTCCCAACTTCCAAGCGTTTGAACTGCAACTCCTTTTTAAGAGTAAGACATATAGGCAGCGTTGCATACAGAGCAAAACCAGAATGAGCAGACTCATTTAGGCAGAGCAGTCTCCTCACACATGCAAAGCCAGCAGTAAATATGCTGTAAGATGCTATATCAACTTTCATTTAAAGCTTCAAGAAGTGCAGTTTCTACCACTTCTCCCAACAGATTATATCACAGCTTCAATGCCACTCACTATCAAGGAGGTTTCATTAATATCCATCTTAGCTTTCGCTTTTCTAATTTCAGCCCTCTCCTCTTAACTAAAGCCATCATACATAATTACAGTCCCTCCTTGAACAGCACCCTTCATTTACAGCATATGTAGCTTTATCATCCAACACAGTCACTTAAGTGATATATGCATAATTTAGCAGGTTTTAATATCTTCTCATAAATAAATTTCTCTGTCCCTTAATCACTTTTGGCACTCTTCTCTGAATTCCTGCCAGATTTTGGTAATGAGGTGACTGAAATGGAATGCAACTTTCCCACTGAAAACTTAAAGTTTGTTTAGATGCCTTATCTGCTTCAAAGTGCTCCTCTGCCACAATAACAAAGGGGATTACAGTTCCCAGACACTAACTGGCTTCCCACTTTTTATTTTTCTCAAGTAAAAGCTGCCTTTAAAGAGTCTTTAAAAAAATCCAAAACATAAAACTCTGCCATGCAGATAACCTGCAGTATATATAAAAAACACTTACAATATTCCTGCAGCTCCTGAAAAAGCATATTCATCACAAACATGTTAAATCTCCTTTGGTCTAAAACTGCTGCACACTTGCTTTCCAGGTGACTTCAAGGCCTAGGGTGTTGTTACTCTACTTATCAGATGCCTGGGATATGCCAGAAAATACCGGGTGTGTGCTTAAATGTCATAGAGAAACAGGGAGATCAGCAGCACCTCATCATCAGCTGTTAAGTTCTTATTGGAGCTACACACTATGAGCTCATGGGAAATTATGTCATTCATAACGAACTCCATGAGCTGGTACATTTTCAGTTGAGACCTGCCACTTGTCAATCCACCACCTCAAGAATACTCCAAGCACCTTTGTCCAAACTATATTTCCTTAGCCTTCAATCTTCCCTCTCTAGCTTCACTTGTTCCACAGAGGTGCTATCTCCTTGCCACAGTGCTCTCAGGACTCAACCAGACTCTCTAGGTCAACAACAGATGTCGCCTTAAGAGACAGCTATGCAGTTGGAAAAAAGAATCAAACAAGACAGGCAAGACCTCCAAGAAAAGACAGTGATAGATCACTGTAAAGAAGGACACTTTTTTATCTTTGAAAGCTGGTAGCTGTTGTCGTCCTCCTGTCATTAAAAGGAAAAACTCAGCATGCTCCAACAACAGAATGAGCAAGTATTTTGCTGCAACTTCTACCTACAGACCCATGCTTTTACCCGATCCTGATGACAGCAATAGAGCTGCTGTATGAAATATAACATTTTCTCACTGCTATGATATATCCTTGCTAGACTTACAGACAGAGATGGATCTAAGCAGCCACACGCTGGGGGTTTAGCCCAAGTCCAGCAGTACTTCTGATGATCTCTCTGTTGCTGACGAACAGCTCAAGCTAGTGCATTGGCACTCATGTCTGATGTTGAGAACCTCCTTTGTCTTCCAAGAACCTGTTTCACTAAATAACCCTTTATTTGCTGCCCTGTTGTTTGAGAACATATATAAACAGAAAACCCAAATGCTCTGATGAACAAGTAAGTCATATTCCAAATGACAAGAAACAGGCAAATAAAAATTAAACTGTTTTAATGCATATTTAACATTCGCCCAATTTGAGTTACACTTGAGTACAGAGAACCTGTTCAAAGCAAACATGCAGCTTAAATCTTATTTCCAAATTACAAAGGGGCTTGAAGTATCATAAGGGCTCAAGACTGAGCTGCACCTTAAAAAAAAAAATGAAGAAGAAGACAGACTTATTTACAAATTGAAAGGTACAAGGATCATCTGGGTCATAAATGTCAGGGAGAATATCTGACTCAGAAGCAAAAGGCTAACAAATATGTCCTTTCAAAGTAGTAATAATTAGCTGAAGGAAAAATAAGCATCCTCACTCACAAGCAGGCTTGCACTTACTGCAGTTTTCCTCATCGCTGCCATCAGGACAGTCCTCAAAGCCGTTGCACTGGAAGCGGCCAATGATGCAGTGGATCCCACTAGCACAGGAGAAGAATGTGGCACCGCATTTGGATTTGGCTTTTGCTGCAAGAAGACAGAGAGAAGCAGGCAAAGATAAAGAAAACAATTTACAAAGGTTAGAAATACTTCACTACAGGTTAGGATACTCCAGGCAGCACTGGTGGCACCAATGTTAGATGCCTTCCAAGCTCCCTATGGTCTGCTTTTAACTGCTTTAACTTTTTTTGGTAAGACTTCGTTTGCTTGGCCTGCATTTTTCCACTTTGAATGACTCCCAGAATGACTGAAACATTCAAACTTAAAACAAGTTAAGTGACCTCTCAAAACAATTTTAAATTGCTCAATACTTTGGAGTACAAATTTGTAAATTTGACAAGCAGGCACTCCTAACTGTCCCGTAGAGATCCACATGAATTTGATCAATTTAGAAGGAAAAAATATTTAAATAGAGTGACATACTTCAGAGAAAAAAAGAGCAACTATCTCCTTTTTGCATGGAAGTCTGCTGTAAATGTCACTGCCCCAGGCCTAAGACCGGAAGACAGACAACTAATCAGATCCTCAAGTGGCAGACAATAACCCTTGGAGGCAAACTCTAGCCTTCCCCAACCTGTATGTTACGCTGCGTCCACAAACACTAAATAGCACCAGAAGTCTAGATTTTGTACACCACCAAGCTTCTCTTGCTTGCTCAGGAGTCTGTGAAGAGCCCCAGGTAGACAGAGACAATGAACATGGCAGAAAGTTCAGAGAATTTGGGGTCTGGAGACAAACTTAGGCAAAAACAGGTGTACTAAGAATAAAGAAACACAGGGAGAAGGAAAGGAGGAATACAGACAAATGAGTTAGAAGCTTTGTGACAGTAAGAAATACAAGAGACCTTTATTAAGGTATTCTTCAGGCTGCAAAAATCAAGCTAAAAAAAGAACATGCTGTAATTAACATTGCCTTTACTCAGCATGACTTACAAATTTGGGTTCAGAAGGAACATGAGTTATAAGAATTGCACCTCTTGCTGTACTCCGCTCCATCATCCTTTATACAGCTTCTACCACAATGCTCAAGGCAAGACCAGTTAAGTTTTGTGGTATCACCAGCCCAGCAGAAAGCAACTCCCAAAGTAAAAACAAAAAAAAACAAAAAAAAACAAAAACACAAAAACAGTTTAACAAGACATGTGATTAGATTTTTTGCCTCTTCAAATTATCACATGGCACAATGGACCACACCACAGGATACTAAACTCTTTATCAAGTCCACTTTAAAGCAAAGTCAGTCATTGTGGGAAGAGCTTGTTGGTAACCGCAGGCAGGTGTGTACAGTGCATTGCAAACACACAGTAAAACCATACACAGTCCATTGATGGGAAAACACCAGAAAGGAAGGCAGCTCCATAATTTGTGGGCTTTTTGAGTAAATGTTTCCTACTCTTAGACCAAATCTCTAAGATGTGTTTACAACTCCCAGGTTTTGAGATGTGACAGATCTGAAGATCACAGCAACAGGTACATGGCAGTTCAATAGACCAATCTGCACAGTTTTATAAGGCCAGGACCAGACCAGAGTACAGACAAAAGAGAAGTATACCCAATAGGGACAAACGTCTTCAGCATTTATTTGGAAAGAATCCTCTCTTATTTTAGAATAAGTGTTTATTGAAAGAGCACATGCTAGCAAGAACAGAACAAAAACAAGAAACTAAACACCTAATTATCTCTTCCTTTTACGAAATCCACTGATTTTTATTTTTTTTAAAACTCAAGGGAAGGAAAAACAACAACCAAAACCCAAATGCATTTCTCCATATTTGCAACAGCCATGATATATATACAAACCAAGCCTAATTGATATTTATATTACATTAGACATCCCCTAAAAAATAAAAGAAGATTTCAAATGCCATAGTGATTCACTAGTAAAACAGCTAACAGTTTGCTAGACAGAAGTCGCACTCCCAAACAGAACTGTTCCTCAAGTTCCAACTCCAAACACAAAATACATTTCTCATATGCGATGCATAAATTCAGAAAAAATGAGAAACCAGTAATGGCTTAGTCAAAGTCACATCCTCTGACTCTGGAGAACTCCACTATGGAATTTCTGCGTTATTTTCAATTTGACATCTTTCTTGTCTTCTGGCAGTTTTCACAAGGTTTTCAAGCAAAAGTTGTTTGGTCATCACCCATGAAGCTCCTATGTAAAGCACAATCATTTCTTCCTGAGCAGAAACACACCTTCTTCCCTTCTGCAATAAACTCCAGATATATCCTTAACACAAAGGGGCTATCCATTTTCTTTAGATCTTCAGCACTCTCACAAGTAACAGATAGGAATAACAGGATCACAAGTGCCTGTAGAAGATTCAAGTAATGTGCTGCGCTATTCAGAGCACTCCTCTGCAACTCCTACTTGCATTACATGACTGTTACAAAAAAGGATTTTTTCGCTTTTGCTCATCATTGTGTCTTCTACTGGTCCAAAGTTTTCAGACAGAACTGTACACGAAAAACTTTACTTTTTTTTTTAACAGCACCTACCTATTCGGCTTCTTCAGTGACTCCAGCCTTAATAAACCTTCAAGGACAGCACTATCTTTGCAATCCATGTCCTTCTGTTACACTTGGCTGAAATGGACTTGGGGTAATCAGGAATTACCAGGATACCAGGAAATGACAAGAGAAAAAGGAAACAGACATGTGTGGATGATCTGACCTCATTTAGCCTTGGTATTAATAACACCTAAAGGAAGGGAAGAGAGAAGCTGGTTGTTTTTAAAGGAATTGGCAAGTCCTCCTGAGACCAGGTCTCCAGAACTTCAGAAACTGTGAGATCACATGTTGGAGGGGAAAGGGTAAGGACTGACAGACACACTTCAAATACAGCAAGAAATCACACAGCAACTTAAAAAAACTGTATCAAAAGAAAGGCTACTCAGATAGTAGACCTAGTCTGGATCCAACTGCAAAAACGTAGCAAGTAGAAAAACCACTCCAAATGAACTGATATTCAACCAATTTGTGAACCTATGGCAGAAAACAATTGATCCACTCTAGTTCCACTCTTGTTTTATTATTAGTTGTGGCAAAAGCAATCCAAGACTGAAGCATTAACATGACCATGTATTTTCATTACACAAAAGGGAATTGCCCCAGTATATAGACAGAGATGGTGAACCACCATGCACTGGAGGAGCCTCCTTTGACTCCTTTAGCCATGGAAAAAAAATGCTCTTTACTAAAATGTTCTAATCCGTTAGAATTCCAATGTGAAGCAAGTGGTGAAGATAGTAGCAGAGAAGTGCTGGCCACGGCATAAGATTTCCAAATATTACTCCCTGATTGGTTTGCTTAAGTTCAAGAAAACTTTTTTTGGCAGCCATGAGAGTGTGAAGCTGCTTCTTATGTTATGCAGAAATCAATCCCTCCACCCCCTTCTTTTAAGACTCTAAAAACCCACTAACTTCCTTTAAAGATCTTGTTCTTAAACGTATCTAAATCAGCACATTCCACTGAAGATGTGACAGTTTACAGGCATGGCCCTACAGCGCAACAGAATAACATTTTGCTATCTGGTGCTAAGGGTGAAACACCACTATTTTTCAAAGAGTGTAATCCATTTTATTATTCTCAGCAAAGATGAACAGCAGCAGGCAGAGGGGGGCACATACAGGGCATACACTGTGTAAATCTCTATACTGTATATAGATACATCCTTGTATAAAAGAAATTATGACACTCTTGACTTGGCTACAAGAACTTAAAACCAGACTAGAAGGCTACAAGAGATTTTCTGTGATGGGCAGGGGATTTTTTTGTTCCATAGATAAGAGCAAAAAAGACATCAAATGTCTTCTAGAAGTATAAGCAAGTAAAGTGCAGTTGTGGACTACAAATTTGATGAATACAGTCAGGATGAGATGGCACTGTCCAGCTCCAAGGAAAAAAAATTGTCATATATAACTGTAAGTAGGTACTAACCTACTGTTTAGATACCATGGTAGAATTTTAGACCTGTGTCTCTTTATAAGGACACAGTGCCTGAAGACATCATATAAGTTCAGTTCAGAATTACCAAAGCCACTACACAATATTACTAATGAAACTTTAGGTTAAATAAACTTTCTGACTGAATCGTTACTGTTAAGCCAGCCAGCCCAGACCTCTAGCATTTCACACCTACAGTGAACTAGGCACTGCTTATTGCATGCACCAGATGCAAAGATAGTACACAAAAGGCTCCCTACCAGGTGCAGTTCCAAGAACAAGCGCATTTCCTTCTTTTATCTCTACAAACATTTCTATTTTTAAGTATTTCTCAGATATTTTGCAATCTGGAGTGAGGGAAATGGGATGTAGCAGATCCAATGGCATACATTTTGTGACAACCTGCAGCTATTAGTAAACTGGACTTCTGGATTTCAGCATCAGCATCTTTGAACTCAAATTGTTGCCTTAGAAACCCTTGGGGTAACAATCAGACAAAATACCTTTAAGCTGATTCACACCTACATGGATCAATCTAACAAATAATGAACCACCTTAAACTTCTCTGTTGTTGTTACTTTATGTTAAGAGATGCCACAGCCAAACTATACAGTACTGCTGATTCACACCTACATGGATCAATCCAACAAATAATGAACCACCTTAAACTTCTCTGCTGTTGTTACTTTATATTAAGAGATGCCACAGCCAAACTATACAGTACTGTAAATCCAATCTCTTTTGATGCGTGCATATCAAGTCATGGCATTTCAGTTAAGACTCTACATGAAGGAATTAAAGGTTAAAATCTTTTCATCTTGTCCTGCTCTTTGAAAAATAGGTTTTAACTTCAATTTACAAGCAGAAGGGTTGATTTTACAATACTATGTAACAAGCACTGGTATACAATCCCTTTCACACCAAGAACTGATATAAATACTATATTTTGGGTTAGTTAATTGTTGTTTGGACCCTACAGTATTTTCAATTCAGTTCACAGTGGAAAAGCCACCACTACCTGCAGTCATTCAGCTGCCTTAGCACAGAAGGCAAATGCATCATTTGCTGGCTCATAGAGCT